TGGAGGAACTGGTGGTGTGAGAGAAAATATATATATATATATATATATATATATATATATATATATATATGTATATATATATATCACAATAGACACAATGAGTTGGGTGCAACCAGGGTTAAAAAAATGCCAATGACAAATGAACTGGCAAATTTGGCCTTTAACAATTCTTACTGACCATAAAGTTTTATTTTGTATTGATTAAAACATGTTTTGTCCCTATAGCGATACAATTAATAAGCTGCTTATCAATTGTGACATTTGCAGAATCACACATAATGAGCCCAGAAGTGAAACTATTGAAAAGTGAAGAGCAATTTTTCCTCCTCTGCAATTTTGCAATTTCATATAGTATGCTTATTGTAAAAAAAAGCTTGAGCTTGGTAAAGGAGCTTTATTAATAAAAACATTATTTTTATTATTTAAACTTTCTTTTGAAGGTTTAATGCAAAGATTATGCCATAAATTAGGCACCCTAGATAAACTTGTGATGACAAAGATGTTAGAAGACGTCTGTGTTACTTTCTTCAGTAGATTCTGGATTATTTGAAATGCTCATGTGGCTTATATCAGTAAAGGGTTCATTCTTCATTTGACTTAAATAATGTGTGCAATTTCTAATAAATTATCGGCCAACCGGAACACAATGGTTTTATTTACGCACTAATGCTATTATTTGCTCATTTTTGGCACATTATGGACCCTGGACCCATCATTTCTAACACAAATTCTCTCCATTTTTGACCAACCCACCAGTTATCCATTAAAAATTAACTCGCATTTCAATATAAAGGCAGTTCACATCAATTTCAAGTTATGGCCCATAAAAACGTTATATCACAATCCAGACATAAAACTTCCTAATTTCAGAAACTTTAATTCACAAACAAGTACAACAAGTACATCAGTCTAAGCATAAAATTCCATTGATCGTCTCTGAGCCGTTATTATTTTAAACTGGCCCTCAACCAGAGGAAAGTCAACAGGTTAATAGGTTATAAGGGTGTTACCCCCAGATCTAACAACGGCACATACCTGCACATGATTACTGATTAACCCTGACAAACCTAGCTTTATGACTGCTTCCCAAACACTTCAAAGAGATCCCATCCATTTCAGTCACCAACTAAGATTTATTTACTGATGAAACATTAACCACAACCACTTACACATCATGTGTTTAAACTACAACTGGGAAGCAAAACTGAAACAAGTATGTTCAGAAAAGCATACTAACTTACTTTCCATTTCTGCAGTGCTATGTATACTCACTATACTGTGCAAAATATGCAACTTTATGTATAAATGGAATGACTTATACAATATACAATGAAGTAAACTGCATGGAATTTTGTATCCCACATTGCAATGCATTCAACTAGACCATTTCTAGTGTGATGAATGGACTAGAAGCAACTACAGCTGTGCTGATGTGACAACAATATAATATACTACTGTTTGAAATGTGTATCATGGAATAATTCCTAAATGATATACTACTTAAAAAAAAAAAGAGAGCAGTATACAGAGTAAACAGATTAGTATGCAGTATGTAGTAAGATACTTTCCCATTCTGAACATAACACAAAACTCCATACCCAAATCTTTTCACTTTCTGTTCTTGTGTTAGACAACAGAAGACATTTAAGACGTACCTGTAATGTAGTGTCAAAGACCACTAGTTTGGAACTGGTGGGGATGAGGTCATAGCACTTGTGGGATTTCATAAAGCGCATGTAAATGTCACTGTCTGGCTCTTCAGCAGCTGAAAACAGAAGAAATCAGCACAATCATTAGCATTAGAATCATTTGCAATCTCTAACACTTCCCAGATAGCACACGAACGTCTGCAAGATGCAGATGAGCAAACACTCTAAAAAATACGTCTTGCAGATGTAAATGCAGACGTCAAATAGACGTCTCCGTGATGTACGTGTGCTATCAGGGTTAAAAATGTGACAAATGTTTTGCATACCCTGATCGCACACGTGCACTGCAAAAAATGCTTTTCCAGCTTAGATCTTTTGTCTTGTTTCCAGCCAAAATATCTAAAAATTCTTAAATCAAGAAGGATTTTCTAGACAAGTAAAAATGATTGTCTTGTTTTCAGAAAAAACTGTACTGTTCTGTTTGAAACAAGATTATTTTTCTTACCCCACTGGCAGATTATTTTGCTTGTTTCAAGCAAAAACTCACTTAATTTTGACTTGTTTTTTCTGAAAACAAGACAATCATTTTTACTTGTCTAGAAAATCCTTCTTGATTTAAGAATTTTTAGATATTTTGGCTGGAAACATGAAAAAATATCTAAGCTAGAAAAGCATTTTTTGCAGTGTACATCTAGGAGACGTCTATTTGACGTCTGCATTTACATCTGCAAGATGTATTTTTTAGAGTGTTTGCTCATCTGCAATACATCTATAGGACGTTTCCTATCAGATGTCAAATAGGCATTTAGAAAATGTCTTTAAGATGTTTATGATTTTTAATCTTTTTAATTAATAATTTAATTAAAAGCGGATACTTTCCAGATCAAGCGACCTTTAACAGACATCTTGCAGACGTATGTGTGTTATCTGGGTAAAACTTTACAAATTATTCATTTTTTAAAACAAAATAAAATACAATTGTGTTATGAATTTGACCCATTATACTCATAAAATAATACAAAAATATTACATAGCGCAAACCTATTTTTAAGAACAGGCTGCAAATTCAATTTAGTCATCAACCATAAACTTGCAAAGACCATGAAATTAAATAAGCAAGCATAAGTATAATCATTTACCTTCGTTATCAAGTTCAAGTTTTTCCAGCATGCCTTCAGCAAGTACGCAGCTCTGAAACACAAAGACACGGGCTGATGGTTTCATCAACAATCACTTACTTCAAAGTTAGTAAGACCCTATTCGATCCTATGGAGTGGTAGCGTCCATTTTTTAAAATCTGCTTATCTGCAAACAAGCAGGCTGGTCACCACACAGCAAGCAGAGTGAGCTGATGAGCTTTCACTCACAGATTCATTAAGCGCAGTGGTGAAATATTAATAGACGGACACTCCCGCAAAGGTGACAATGGAACATTCCGAGTCTGTTTCACGTCTGTAAAAACGAGGCACAGGTAGAGTAACTTACTTCATAAGGAGCGTATAATGTCAACACTGGGTCTGAAGCGATTACTTGGCCCTAGTTACAGCTCAGTCGCTCTCTGCTGGATGACGAAGAAACGAAAGAAATGCGAATGCACTGATCATAGCTATAAAAATCACCGGCTGCGACTTAGTCTCAAAACCAGCATTTTAAACATCATGAGCGCGTGAGCCAATGATCACAGTTTAAGTCGCAGGAAATAAGGTACTTTCCATTTTAAGGTATTTAATCAAACCGGCGAATCTTCCAAAATTCCTATGTAATCCTGGCTGTTCCCGCCACAAAAACTAATAAATAAACAGCGCAACTTACTCAAAGTAGGGTGTTTCATCAAGAACGGGCACTACGTTACTTCTGGTCCTGTGAAAAATCTCTTACGACACACTTCTACACTCTTACAACGAGTGTATTTATTTGTCTATTAGTAATGTCCAATATTCTGTGGTGGAAATTGTAAACATTTTTGGAATAAAATAACGTTAGCTTGTTGTTTGTCTTGCTAAGAGTAATTCCATACATAGCTAGCACTTTATATCAGTTAAATCGTGTTCTCACACTTTTTGCATATTTTGACTAAATCTGATTGGAAATGAATATATACTGTTCGATTGGTATTTAGGCTACACTTACTTATCTTTATCGCACATCACATGTTTCATATTTCATCTCAAGTTCTTCACTGTAGTGCTGTTGGTAAACAAGTGCACTCACTTTTGATAAAGCTTTATTGGGGAAAATTATTGGTCATTTTGCAAATGACACCACAAATGGGGGACATAGTATTTGGTTTAAAAATTCTTCTGCTAGCTTTCCTACCTCAAATTGGTTTCTAGGTTACATGTTGTGAAACTGGTCTTAGTAACAGATGCTAAATTCTGCCAGGACTGGTCAAATAATCATGACACAGCAAAAAATAGACAGCTGCACTGACCAATATCTGACCATCAATCAAGATCAAGATTCATAAGAAGAGTATTAGTGTACTGAATCAGTTAGTAGGAAACATGTTCCTCTGCTCTGTTCCCACAACAAAATCACACAAAAAAATCACATGACCCACACTTTAACACTGAATAACAGGAAAATTATTGGTCATTTTGCAAATGACACCACAAATGGGGGACATAGTATTTGGTTTAAAAATTAAATCATTGTGTATAAATTATTTAAAATAAATAATGGAAATAGTTTGTTTATTCACAGCTTGTTAACTGTAGGTTATCATAGATTTGAGAATGTGGATTAATTCATAGTTTTATAAATAGTTTTTTACGTTTACATTTGAGTCTGCGACAGGTGTAAAAGAATCTATAAAAGTCACCTGAAAAGTATCAAAAGTAAAAAAACTAAAATCCAATATAGTTTTAATGTGATCTTCATTTACACCCGTTTGTTTTAATAAATATCAGCCTGTGGTACGTAAGTGTCTGAAGTTGAAGAAACACCCAATAACAAGAAACTTTCTTATATTTGCAAATTCAACTTTGTAGTAATAATGTCATAGTCTAAAATAGTTATTAGGGCTCTATATCCTGCAGTTGCAACTGTAAAATGTAAACTTTCCATAATAATAAATACTTTGCAATGGGCTTCCATAACGAATTGTCCCGAAAAATTACGAAAGTAATTTTTCAAACATTTCCACATATTTTTTCACAGATTGTCTTTACAGATATACAAGTCAAACAGACTGTGTGCAGTTGTTGACCTATGCTCATTTTGTATTAATGGCTAACAGGCGACAAGTCACCTGTGCAAAATATAAAGTCACAATTACGAAAAGGTCAATTACAAGCAAGCATCATATTGTCCAGAATGCCTGTACTTGACCTCAGTTGCTGCATCAGATATATTACTGATGCAAATATCAACTGCTTAAAAATATATAAATGTAAAAATATGAATTTCCCAAAACAAGAAAAAACATTTGCCCAACAATTTGTTCTGATCGAAAAACATCAAACGATGTGTTAGGTGAAGAAAATGAGCAAGCAGTTTTGTCTTTTTAATAAATATGCAATTAGTTGATTGAAGGTGCCACTAGAGGTGTAAAAATGACTTTGCTTTTCTATGGGTCAAGTGTAAACTATAGTAATCCCAGAAAGAACGTGTGAAGTTGTTCACTCACCTGGCGTGAGGTAGAGTTAAAGGTGTATAGGGGGTTAGGGGGTTTGTTGGTGGAGGGGCTCAGGCTGAAGCGCTGACCTGTGTCAGGGGGAGACGAGAGAGAGCGGTTCCTCCACGCCTCCACGCGCTCCGCAGGACTGGGGGTCTCCACAGGGAAGACTGGTGGAACGGGACTCTGTGTCGGGGTGGTGGGGGGAGTGGAAAGCCCAGAGCCTGTGAGACACATCAGTACGGAAGACAATGAAGTACTGAATTTGCAAAGTGGAAAATAATCATAATTCTGATGTGAAATTAGGAGAGTGGCTTATTTTGTGAAATTCTAAATGAATAGCAGAAAAAAGCCAGAACAGAGATGATATCTATTCTGATATCTGATCTATCTTATTTATCTTCTGCTAGCTTTCCTACCTCAAATTGGTTTCTAGGTTACATGTTGTGAAACTGGTCTTAGTAACAGATGCTAAATTCTGCCAGGACTGGTCAAATAATCATGACACAGCAAAAAATAGACAGCTGCACTGACCAATATCTGACCGTCAATCAAGATCAAGATTCATAAGAAGAGTATTAGTGTACTGAATCAGTTAGTAGGAAACATGTTCCTCTGCTCTGTTCCCACAACAAAATCACACAAAAAAATCACATGACCCTGACTTTAACACTGAATAACAGAGGTTATAATTCTTCACACTTAAGAGTATTTTTATTCTTCAAATGCCAAGCATAAATGGCCATTCTGTCTGACAGATCAGTGTTCGAGAACTTGATTCTGTGTCAGCTTCGTAAACAATATTGACATGTAAACAATTGTTGGTATAATGTTGAATTTTTTTTAAAAATTATTATTGTGTATTGTTATGTCCATGAAATAAGTCTCTTATTCTCACCAAGACTGCATTTATTTGATCAAAAAGTAAAAGAGTTATATTGTGAAATATTACAATTTAAAATGTTTTATATTTTAAAATGTAATTTATGCTTGTGATAACAAAGCTGAATTTTCAGCATCATTACTCCAGTCTTTAGTGTCATATGATCTTCAGAAATCATTCTAATATGCTCATTTGCTGCTCAAGAAACATTTATTATTGATGAACAGTAAGTAAAATAATATAGTAATGGTAAAAAAAAGAGATAATTAATATGAAATAGAAATTTTGTGTAACATTATATAAGCCTTTACTATATCTTTTGATCAATTTAATGCATAATTTAAAGTTATCCAAGTTGTTCTTTTTGAAGTAGGAATACAGTTCCATTTAAATGAACTTCTGGTTTTGTGTCCAACATCTACCAATGAGTATGTTTACATGGACAACAATATTCCGATATTAACATGATTAAGACAATACTCTGATTAAGAATCTACCATGTAAACAGAGATTTCTGATTACCTTAATCCGGCTAAAGTCATACTCGAAGTAAACACAAATCGAATTAAGAAATTTGGAGTATTCCTATTTTAGTCGCATTATTGAAGTGCAGTATAGACGTATACATACCTTAATCACACTACTGTTACTATCAAAAGCACATATGCTCTGAGGAATCTTTAAATCTGAAGCATGATTTGAATATCAGTACATTAATTCAGCTGAGAGCTGAAGCAACTGGGCATATTCAGCTCAGAGCACTATTCATGTATCTCTGCTTTTGAGGCATTTGGCTATAGCATGTCACTATGCTTCATCTACGGACGTTTCATAGTCAAAACGTTCTGTGTTGGACTGGTAGATGTGCATGTTTGGGCTGTATGCAAGTGATTCAGAAGATGGGTATCCATCATTAGATTATAAGACAATATGAATTTGCGTTTCAATTATGAAATGCACTGTTGTAATCAATTAGTTTACTGTAGACACGATTAGCCCTGGCAAGCCTCCTCTCTGTGTATGAAGGGAAGATTGGGGCTGGGGTCAGGCTGGCATCAATTAATGCTGGTGTCCCAGTAGCTAATTTTTAGCTGTTCATCATTCATTAACTTCATTTACATAGTCGTTCAAAAATCAGATTGAGTCAGTGCACACAGTCACACCTCTCAGCGGGTGGGCATTAACAGCCTCAGCTGGGTGTTGATGGCCCTGTCGACACACCAAAAACATCCAACTTGCCTTGATATTATCGTTCAGTCAGTGGGACAGACTCTCGTGGTCTTGGCAGTGACCAATAAGTGGATAGAGGTCAGAGAAAGTCATGTAATTAGGTACTCCTCTCCCAGGCTTAATTATTGAGCGTGATGCACAGATTGACTATTTTTTCTGAAATTGTGCCCTCTTCTGTTGGAGGTTTGACACTAAAATCGAATTATAGAGGGTAGTTCACCCAATAATACATTTCATTATCATTTATGTACCCTTGTGTCATTCCAAATCTTCCATGGAACACAACAGAAGATACTGTATATTTAGAAAATTGTCTTAAGGGTATTTCAGACTTGAAATAGTTAACTATAGCATTGCGCATCCTCGCATTATATATCGCCCAGTACTATGAAGATTTCCCTGGACTTTTCAGACTATAAAGTTAAGATGAGCAGTGTTTACGTGAATGTCCAATGCATGTGA